GACTTGAACTTGATGAATTTAACTTTTAAATTATTTAGCACAAACCTATTGTACTCAAAGCATAATATTATTAAATTTTATATTTTGTCTTTTCACATATACATCCAATGTTTGATTGAATTCAGTACCGTAGCTACTAAGCCACATGAATGGCAGCTTCCTCCGGACAGTCGTACATTAGACGGATTTGCTTGGCAGATTCCCGTGGATGTTCTACTCTGACAGAGCATATTGTTTCCAAGGAAAATCATAAGCACAAACATACAAACATATGACGACTTCGAGGATCACATGTCCGGAAAGGATTGAAAGGCAATATATTATTTCATCTTCCAAAATCCAAATTAGAGGTAATTTATCCTAACAGTGTAAAGAACCAGGTTAATCAACAACATGGAAGGGGAAAAGGTCAACATTTTATTTATTCATAATAAGTGTGGATTAACGATGATAATCCAAATAAAAAGAAAAGTAAGTTTGCTATGACCGCTTATCAATGTAGAAATTCTTGATAGGCAAGTTAAGCAAAGATATCTCTTTTTTCCTTTTAACCTAAGAAATTGGCGGTTGATCTAGCAATCACAGAAACTATCAATGACCTCCTACATAACATATGCGAGCGTTACGCGAACGATTTGCTAGTCTTTTCAAAAGAAAGAACCGACCACATCAAAAATTCACGCAAGGTCTTCGAAAATTTGAAAAACTCTAAAAAACCGTTTTTCAAAATTTTCACTCACAGAACTTCAAAAACAACCCAAAATTATATCCATGTCCAAACACAACTCTAAATTTTAAATATCATTTTCATGAAAATATTTTCCCCCTATTTTGGAATTTTACAATTCTTATGTCCAAACGCCCACTTGAAAACATCAAATAAAGATGAACACAAAAAAATATGCATTCGGGATTGGGCGAAGGCAGCATCATTGGCAATAGCATAGCTATTATTGACCTGACCCCTATTGGAGTCATCTATAGGGCTAAGAATCTTACCTTTACTTAGAAAGGTGTAGAGATACCATGCTCTTCCGTGCTCGTAAGCTGACTCACCTATGCACCCCGACTAAGGTCTCACAAACGTGCACTTCCCTTACGCATCCAATCGCTTCACTGATGTGAATTGGTTATACAGAAAGGTAAATTGGTTATATACTCTTACGTGCCTTCCTGCTTCAAACCTTCCTACGTCAAACCTTTTGGTATGTATTACCCCTAATTATAGATCAGATCCACCAGACAAGAAACTCAATTCCGTTCAATTCCGCATTGTTGAGTCATCGAACTTATCCACCAAGGGATTCGTGCAATTTCTACGGATTGCGTTGGAGGAAATCTACCAAAGGTAGGCGGATAGATAAGACTCCTTTCCTGCTGCTAAGGGAGAGACATCATCTATCTTCTTCCTTCCAGCAGCCTTATGAATCCTCATTGGTAGTAGTTGTGAGGCCAGAAGGCTTCCAAAATACTTCTCAAGACAGTAAAGGCCACAACAAGGTGGATCTACAGTTCTTTACAAAGAGCAGCATACAGCACACAGAGGGCCATAATTGACGGCACCAAGAGCCCCTTTTTTCTTTTGATAAGGGAGTGCCAACACCAACTTGCACACCTCGACTAATTCACTCAATGAATGACCTTCAACCAGCATGTGTCGATAATCCTATTCACCAAGACTTAGATCGAGAAAACTCGCCCAGCAGTCAGCAAAATCCTGTTCACCTTGACTTAGAGGGATCGAGAAAACTCGCCCAGCATATTCTCACCTATGCTCAGACTTGAAGTTTATTCCTCTCTATTTGCATTTCTTTTCCTAGTTGCGGCTCGATTACTTAATCACCAATTCTCCCTTGAAATCTTCTATTTGATGTTGAGCCAAATATGTAAGCCATGTATCTGGGAGATCTCCCGTGATCCACTTCAGCTTAATCGACTGTAGGCCTTTGCTGAGAGCAGTCCCACATTACAGTTTACATACAATTAAATTCAAGGAATAACATTTGAAGAGCAAAACGTGATGAGGTTTTCAAGATTTCTAGCGCAGGATCTGGCTATTCTTAATTTAAAACATAGATGCCTTACGAAGATCCACAACCATTGCATGCACCTAGATTAAGCTTATTAAAAGCCAGCAAACATCTCTTTCTTCACAAGGGCGCTCCCCAGCATGATATTGATACAACCAACACCATAAATCCATTTAGCAGCCCCTTCACCAGTAATGTCCCACCAATGCTACATCAACTAAAAATAATGGCAATGCATTATTGATGATCCACACTTTTTCCTTGCAATGTAAGACTATATTTACAAGCTCACCAACAACTAGCCTCAATACAAGGGCAAATGGTAGATGCTGACATAGGGAGGATTTCATTGAGAAATACAACACGAAGATATAATAACATAAGGAGGCAACTAGAACTAGCAGAAATCAAACTTCAATCATGATTTGAATAGCAGGAACACACACAAATGCAATAGATCAAAGCATTAATAAGGTAAATGTTGACACCTAATTGAGATGTTTCATTGCCATGACATCAAATCTTGAAATCTTCAAACGCGAATCCCTCAGATTAATTTGTCATATAACCGGAAAGCATTAGTTCACCACTTTCAGTTAATTGCAAAAACTAACCAGAAGCAAAGCATCTTAAACAAAGATGGCATCAAGCAAACAGCAACGAAGGACACAAGGCAAGGCCACCCATAATCTCCAAACCAACATAATCAAAGAGTACAGGCAACATTCATTCTGCGTCCCCTTGATATTTCTCCTCATAGCACATACCTTTGTTGAATTTAAACCACCGATGGCGATGAGATGATTAAAGTCCCTGCTATATCACAGGCAATCATCCAATCTTTTTACACCCTGACATGTACAGTATAGGCCAGTGCAGAATTGTCAAATGCAGTAAAACAACGTAAATTATTTCCTAAATCAATCAGAAACACCATAAACATTGCTGAAACAATCATGCAAACACAAATTGGTCTAAATCATAGTATAAGCTTTTTAATGGTCACAAGCAAAACAAAGGGCAGAAACAACCCATCATTTATACTAGAATAGATGCTATGCTCTGTCACTAAAGCACAACTCTACCACTATATCATGCACAATTACAGTGTCAACATAGAGTCGATGACAGTAAACATCTTATTGAAGAAACTTAACTCATAACAATAGCCTTGAAGTTCAGGGACATGTACTAGATATTCTGAAGCAGAACCTGGACCGTCAACTTCATTCCACATCCCCATGTAGTGGCAGTTATCGCCCCAATTCCAATCATTCAGCAATCAAACTAATGCTGCGCCCACTGGATACTCTTTATATCAATCCCCTCTTTAACCATTTCATACAGCGGGCTCATTTCCCTCAACTTCTCAACCTGCTTGACCGTAAGATCCATCGCACGATCAATCTCTTGCTCAGTAGTAAACCTCCCAATTCCATATCGAATCGAAGTATGGGCCATGTCTTCTTCAACTCCCAACGCCCTCAACACATAAGAGGGCTCCAAACTTGCACTGGTACATGCACTTCCACTCGATACAGCAACTTCCTTCAAACCCATCAACAAGCTCTCACCTTCCACATATGCAAAAGATAAGTTCAAATTCCCAGCATATCGCCTTTCAACACTCCCATTAACAACAACCCCATCAATCTTAGACCTTATCCCATTCAGCAACCTCTCTTGCAAACCCTTAATCCTCTGGTCATCATATTCCATCTCCTTCATAGCAAGCTCACAAGCTGCCCCAAACCCTACCACCAAAGGAGTAGGCACAGTCCCACTCCTAATCCCTCTTTCTTGTCCACCCCCATTCATCTGTGGCTCAACCCTAATCCTTGGCCTACGCCTAATATACAAAGCTCCAACACCTTTCGGCCCATAAATTTTATGCCCACTTAACGACATCAAGCTTATATTCATCTTCTCCACATCAATTGGAATCTTCCCCAACGCTTGTGCAGCATCAGTATGAAAGGGAACATTAAATTCTTTGCAAATTTTCCCAATTTCCTCCATTGGCTGAATCACACCTATTTCATTATTCACCATCATAACTGATACCAAACCCGTATCAGGCCGTATAGCAGCCCGAAACTTTTCTAGGTCCACAAGTCCATCGGACTCAACTGGAAGGTAAGTTACATCAAACCCCTCTTGCTGCAAGTGACGGCAAGAATCAAGCACACATTTATGCTCCGTTTGAGTAGTAATAACATGTCGCTTCTTATCCCTATAAAAATGTAAAACCCCCTTAACTGAAATATTATTGGACTCAGTAGCACCGGAGGTGAAAATTATCTCCTTTGGGGATGCATTAATTAGGGCTGAAACTTGGGCTCGAGCCGCCTCAACGGCCTGATCTGATTCCCAGCCGTAAAGGTGAGTTCGCGAATGGGGATTCCCGAAACGGGAGAGATAGTAAGGCAGCATAGCGTCGAGAACCCTAGGATCAATAGGAGAAGTTGCCTGCATATCTAGGTACAGAGGTCTGCCGGAGATTTTCACACCTTTCATCGTGATGCCGGTAGTTTCTTCCTCGTACGGCTCCACAACCGCCGCTGCCGCCGTGGAAAACTGGCGGAGACGGCCGTGGCTGCCGCAGGGTTTAAGGATACTGCGCCCTAGCGCTGTCGTTAAAAATTTCGAGAACATTATTTCAACTCGCCGATTTCTGACTCAGCAGTTTTTGGTTTAACGTAGTACTAAATATTAAAAAAAGGGTCACCGGTTCACCGACGAAGACCGCCTTTGTTAATCCGATGACACGTGGTAGGTTCTCCACTGTACATTAACTCATTAACCCTTTGGTCGATTACAACGACGACGTTATCTCATCTAACGGTGTCGTATTTTCTAGCAATTTGTTTCTTGACAATTATAGGCGCGTGGGGAAGGGAGTGATAAGGAGATGAGGAGGAGAGATATCAGTGTAAACGCAACAGTTGTTTAAATTATATAAAAGGAGGGGAATATGTGTGGTTTTTAAATACGTAATAAAGTGAGAAAAACTGGATCTTGATCTGAACCTAAAAAGAAAAAAGGCATTTTAATTTCAGGGGTCACGTCTTCACCTCTTCTGATAGTTCGTGATTCAACCTCTACAAAAACTACTTGCTACCCATAAAACTCTTAAACCATTTCCCTTTGGCTTTTTTTCAACAATATTGTTTATGGGGTTCCAGTTATAGAAGTAAACTATTGTTGTTATTACTAAGATTGTGGTTTAAGGATCTTATTGCAACTTTGTACCTTTTCTTCCATTCTAATCATTTGACCAAATTTGCCTATAAAGTTACCTACTTTTGCTTCGTCAGAATAGGGATCTTGAATCCAGACGCTGAGGCTCGCTTCTATTACTGTATATCAGGTATGCCCTTTTCAGCTTTTTCTCTTTTAGTACTGTGGAAAGATTTGTAATTTATGTTGTTTTGACTTGTTGGTAAGGGTATTATTCATGACTGTTCCATGCTTATATACAAATTCAGATCTTTTGACAACAATGTGTTTGTATTTCTGGGTGTTTTTAATAGGTGTAGTTTCAATTGTCTGTATTTGCCAGCCATTTTTCTTCAACAAAAATTCATGCTGGTTTGCCTTCTATATGTAAATTCACAACTCGATTTTAAATAATGTAACACGTCGACAATTCTATGAATTGTACTTGGAGAGATTTTGTTTGTGTCTGATTGTTGGTTTTTTTTTTTTTTTTTTTTTTTTTTTTTTTTT